GTATATATATGTATATCTATATATGCATTTTGAATGTTCAGGAAGAGGAATCTGCAACTGCAAAAAAAATAGTTTCCCTCAACTGGGATTCGAACCCGGTACCTTCTGCATGCTGTTTATGGTTTTAGGGTGTGATCTGGTTTTACATGCCTATTTTTCGTGATTATGACTATTTTGGATAAAGAATGTTTTGAGCAGTGGTGTATTCAAGGCCCCCTCCACCCTAAATTTTTTAATGGAAAAAAAATATAGCCCCCTATCTAAATTTAAGTCTGAGAGTGTAATTTCCGGCCATCTAGAGGTGCCCTAATCATAAATGTTCTTACCTCAGCCCCAACCATGGTGGGGTTGAGGTGGGTGGTTCCTCAATCTGTTCCTCCACCACTGTTGAGTTGTTAGGCTTACTAATATTATTTATGATGATTTTACTTTATCATCTAAAAAACATCCCTAAAAACCTTCAGAGCGTGTTACTTTCCAGGGGGCTTCGCCACAGGACCCCAACCACGGGGTCCTACGTACATCGCATAAGGGCTCCCCCCCCCCCTCTTTCAAAATCCTGGCTACGTCCCTGAAAACAGATGAGCAGCGTATGTGCCTGTCTACCACAAATTATGGTGCGCTTCGCTATTTTATGGGTTCATTGACTTTTCACATCGTTTCATTTTCTATTAGTAGGCGCCTATTTGGTAAAAAAGTTGATCAAAGCACAACCTTGAAATTATAACAATGAACAATCATAGTATTATGAGTCAGGTCATTAACATGGTTTAATTTCCCCTGTAGACACAAAACGTTACTAACAATTCGCGAACGTTGTGAAAGTTGGTTATATAGGTTATATTTTTTGTTGTTCTTTTTTACTTTTTATTAATTTCATTTATTTTCTTAAGTTTAAATCATTTAATCATTTCATTTTAATCATTTATTTCAAAAATCAAAAGGAATAAAATAAATGTTTCAATGAATATGTATGAAAATTATGTTAGCTCAATTGTAGCAACATTACCAAAGTTAGTTGGAAATTACGTTATAAATACCGTACGTAGGCCTACTGTAGCTATGATTCTGAAAACAGTATCAACCCGTGTGAACACTAAATTTAAGATTTAAGGTAATTATAACAGTTAATTTCAAATTACCTACCTTCAAAATAACTATAAGTAGGCCATCAACATTGCATAGACCGATTTGATGTAGGCAGACCAGCTAATCTATAGGCTAATAGTAATACAATTAACTGCTATGTTACCCTCAACTATGGGGTGCCATACGCAGCAAAAGTCCATGTTAAAATCAAAATGTAATTGCAAAATTCAATGTCTAATTTATCAAAACATAGGCATAAATTTTTCAAAATGTAGATCTAGTTTCCCAAAATCAAGTTTTAATTTTTCAAAACGTAGTTCAAATTTTCCAAAATGTAGTTCTAATTTCTTTAAAATGTAATTCAAATTCAAAACGTAGGTCTGACTTGATCAAACGCCCTCTCCAAATTCTGTTCCAAAGTAACAATTATTGTTGTGTCTTCTTAATAAACATTTTACAACAACACAAGCCATAATAATAATAATAATAATAATAATAATAATAATAATAATAATAATAATAATAATAATAATAATAATAAACTAATAATAATAATAATAATAATAATAATAATAATAATAATAATAATAATAATTATTATTATTATTATTATTATTATTATTATTATTATTATTATTATTATTTATTGAACTTACAGTTTTGTTAGTGGCACTCGTCAATTGACGGTGCGTTTAAGACCAACAAAATTACAAAAAAAAGTTACATTAAAAAAATTTAAAAAAATTTAAAATACAAAAAGCACAAGCACAAAATATGAAATCCCCTTCTTATCATAACTTAGCAATTAAACTTGAATTAAACTACTTAAAGTATATAAATACAAAGTAGATACAGCAATACAGACTTATTTTCCTGTACAGTACTATAGGTCTAAACTTACACACACACACCTAGGTAAACACAATCCAATAAGAGAAATATTGATCAGGGAAAAAAAATTCAACGTCACAACATAGCACATCATTAAAAAATGCACATGGGTATACATACACATGCATACACACACACACACCCACACATCTACATAAACATGCAAATGTAAATCAAAACTAGTCCGCCAACAAGCGTGACGTGGGCCTGTTCCATTAATGATGGGGGAACCATTTTTTTAATGGTCAGGAGCGCCAGGGCCCCCAGACACGAGGGGCCCCGACCGTGGTTGTAGTTTTTAAAAAAATATAACATAACTATAATACCGTAGTTTCATTCAATGGGGCCACCGTAGTTTCATTCAATGGGGCCCCGACAGTTTTAAACAATAAATGCTGGGTTCTGATGTTTGAGATCATGCTTCTGATTTTGTGATCTGCTTTGCATTGTATATAGCCCCTATATACAATGCAAAGTTCTCACTAAAATTGGCCTATTCTCTGTATTTATTTACACCTAGAGTACATAGGCCTACTGTAGGCCTATACCAGTCCGAAAGTCACGTACCGGTACCATTCTATGGTCTCTAACAACGCAGTTAACAGTTAGTTTTTCAATCTCCAGCAAATTTTAAATAGCATCCCAGATCCTCCTTTTTTGGAATGTAAGCAACAAAGTACCGTATGTTCACTCCAGCCCTATTTCATTTCCTGTATATTTATTTTGACTATGCTACAGACTTCATTATATATTTATTTTATATTATATTTTATATTTCTGTTCCATATTGTTATCCATATATAATGCTTTATTTTACCTATTTATAATTTTCCATTTCCTGCTTATATCCTATTTCTCTATTTGTTTAGATGCCATCCCCTCACAGTCAGCATATCGTGGGAACAGCCATTATCTGCTTTCTCATTTCTTATTGTTTGTCTATACTCAGCATTAAGACAATGTCTTTGCTAGCAAGCATTCTTACTTAAGATAACAATTCAGCTCTCTAGTTAATTCTTATTTACTATTTTTGTTTATTTCGCATTAAGTTTTAGTACCGCCCATGCTTTGTTGATAGGCCAATTAAATTTCAGGCAACTTCACTCACCACACTGATGAAGTCCACACGAGTGGACGAAATATTCGTGTTTAATAAATTATGTTCCATACGTCAACTTGACTTTTGTTTTCATTGTCATCACTTTCCCTAATATATTTGTTATGGAACAACGTGCTGTCCTCTTGTTAATGCCTTTATCAACTGTCATACTTATTATAAATTTCATTTTTCAAAAGTAACTGTATAGCAAAAATAGCATAACTTGTCATGACATAACATGATTTTAACTTTCTTTCTCCTTCAATTATACCCAATAAACATAATAAAGTTATATCACATGAGATGGACTTAACAGGTAATTAACAGAACTATCACACCTTATGCACCTTTATTTTATGTATTGTAATAATTGAATGCACTAATCATTTTAATTACATAGGCCTCTCTACTTCCCTAACATTCTCCATTTAACTCCACACTACTGTGTAGCAACAAAATTCTAATAATTTTCCCCTTAAATAATACCCAATATTGAATAATAATTAAGTTACACCATACAAAGAATGAACTGAATAAGTACTTACAGTATCTGAACCATGACACTTCATGCACCTCCATTTTATGTACTGTCATTAAATTCATTAATCCTGTCTCTTATACACATCTTTATTATATATTAGATATGATTGTACACTTAACTTTTCACTACTGTGAACTGCAAGAAATTTCTGAAACAATAGCAATCGTAAAACTAAATAAAAATCATACTGAAAAATACAAAAAAGAAAAAGTGTTTGGTATAGTCAAGGATCGTAAAAAAAGACAAAATAAATCATACTCAGAACAGGGAGATGTAAAAACGACCCGGATTTGGGCGGAGTTGACTTTGGGTCGAGTTGACCTGCTTCCGCCTAGAATTACTAAAATAAGGCAGGGAGTTTTGATTTTTGGTCATGTACCGTACTAAGTCTATGGATTATGATCTCTGTCATTGTCTAGAATGGGGACTGGTGGACATTAAAATTGGAAAACTGGAAATATACTCCAGACAAGACCTCGCGCTGTGTTGTTGTTCAGCCAGCATCACTGTCACTTTAAAGCCTATAACCATGCTGTAACCAACCAAAGCGATGGTCCTCCATGGTGTACTGTAAGTACAAAACAAAGTTTATTTGGTTTAAGCTAGGCCTATAATTATCTAATATAGCACAAAGAATAACCGAATAGGCTGATGCAAGGGTGGAATTGCAGTACAATATTATTATACTGTATGACAATTGCGATATTAGTATACTTTCATTCATTATTGACTCGAATTTGCCTAGGGCCAGGCCTATCCTTGTTGAGAGGGTTTACACTCAGTAAGATTGCAAAATACTGTACTGTGTAAACGAAACATTTACTGACAGTGACATAAAATAATACATTGCCATTCCATCCGCTGTCATAAAAATTGGTGTAATAAGTAAAAAGGCCTTGATGTGGCTGAACCAATGCAAATAACATGGGCGTACAGTGAAAAATCTAAGGGGGAGTCGAAACGAAAGCGCAGGGGGCAAGCTGAACTCGGAGAAATTTAGCGAAGCTTTCAGAATTCGCGGGGTGCGTTATTTGTGAGTGAAGCGAGCATATTTAAAGGGCACTTTCTTAGTAAGAAGGCCTTGGCTGAACCAATGCAAATAAGGGCCTGGGGGAGGGGGAGGGGCTGTTTTGCAGGATGGATATCAATGTCTTCCTGAAATGTCTCCCTGGATCCCTAGATACCTCCATTTTCTAACAGTTGGTTCAAAATTTATTGCTTAAGAAAACAAGAACATTAGTTTTTAAAAATTGTTTATCTCTTTGCAGTTAATGGATTTGCATTGCTGCCAATTCTTGACCAAAATCACATCATTGCTGAAACAAGATGCCACCTCAAAAACTCCTTGATTTATGTTTGGATTTTGTTTCACAAAATGTCCAACATGTTGAAAGTTTTGAGTACATCCCAGATGTTGTCGGAAAACAGATCTTCAAACGAATAATTCAGCTGGAAAAGTCAGGAAAAGCATATTGCATAGGAACCAAATCACTGAAGTTGTTGGTGAGCACCTATGGAACAGATTTACTCACTTCATTGAGTCTGGTTAATCAGAGAGATGTTCTTGATAAGTATTCTGAGAAGTTTGATGTTTTGCTGGATTGTGACGGACTTGTGTCATTGGACTTTGGAAACTGCTGCTTAAATGATGAACATCCGATTTTGAAAGTAATTGCAAGGATGAAAAGGTAGTTTGTAGTTTGTAGACATATGGGGATTGTCATGCCAAAACCATAATCAGTGACCAAAACAAGAATTGACTTTTTAACATGTACATATTCTCCACATTATAAGCTTTAAAAATGATAGGTCATTTTGCTGGAATTCACATAATATTGCCAAAGCTAATTACTCAGTTAACATATACAGTAGTGGCAGAATGCTGGTTTTGGGATGGCAAGCCTCATATATTGTAACGTTTGAGGATGTTAGGTCTTTTAAGCAAGTTGCTAGGTTCAGTGGTGGTGGTAGCGGGGAAGAACAGGGCGGGCATTTTCACCCCGTCGGACAGGCCTAGACCCTGTGTCTTCCAAAGCCACAACTGGGTCATCGGATCGAAAATATGAAAATAATAATTTGGCTATCCAAATAATATTATTTTGATTGCTATTCCATTATATTGTGGTCTAAAATCACAATTTGGGCCATACTAAGCCATGAAAATGCTCCCATAAACCCTACCAGGGATTTTTTTTATTCACGGCTGTCGACCGAGGCTCTAATAGGCCCCTTGGTTCAGACCTCTCTGTCGGAAATGTTAGACCCCTTTTCGGCAAATTTCTGGCGCCACTGCGGGTTAGGTGACTCATCCAAGAACCAAGATAGTAATA